CTAGTCCCCAAGATTTGTCAGCCAGCCAGCCCACCCACAGATGTTTCAGGAAGAAAACCAGGTCAGCATTCCCACGTTCACTTCTTTGGCTTTAGGTGACAGGTCAGCAGATCAGCATCTGCTGTCTGCAGTTCACAGTCTCCACTAGAAGATGGTCCTTAAGTGTTGGCCTGAATTCCTGTCAAATCTGCACTTCTCTTTACAGACCTGGGCAACAAGCAAACAAAACAGCTACAGCAGCTTAATGGGATATCTTCACTGAAGCCAACTAAATCTACCCTCACAAACTGAAGGACAACTAAAGGTACTCTCCAAACCCATGTTTCATTAAACCTAAGGGTCCCTTCCTACACCACAGGGGTCTGAGACCTGCTTTCCAGTATAACCACAATTAGATGCAACTCAAGAGCATCCAAGACCATGACTGGAGCCTCTAAGCAACACAGAAGAGACCAAGCACATTATTTTTCTTTTTGATACATCAGCCTCACCTTTAATTTCCATACAGCATTCCATGGCCCTTCAGAAAAGGGCAGCTAATCTCTCCATTGCTTGCCTTGATAGGCATGGAAAGGAAAATTATTCAGAAAAGTAACATGAACTAAATCCCGTACTTTATCTTCCACCCACAAACACTGAGCCTGAGCTGACAGTACTATTTGCAACAGAAAACTGTGCCCCAAAAAGGAAAGACTTCCTTAAACAGGTCATTATCTATATATTTGATTGCTTTCCAATCCCTGATTAACATAATGTATCACTGATATAAAATAATTCTGCTGTGAATACAAAGATCTTTGACCCCAGCAGGTGAACAAATGAAAACTTCTTATGGTCACCACGTCCAGCTCAAAACAAATTAAAACACAACACCAAACCAACAAACTCCACATCAAATACTACAATTTATTCTCTCTCTCAGAAAAATGCTTGGACCAAAACTCCTCTGAAGCTGTTGCTTGCAGTCTGTCAGCCTTCACAAATTTGTATAACTTTCCAGCAAAACAACCTCAGCCTTTCAAAACTTGCAATCTTCTGCCACTTATGGATAAACACAAAGACAAATTGAGCATTAATGCTTGTCAGCTGCTATCAACAACTATCAGTATCTTCAGTATCTGACTTACAACCACCTCATCTTTAAAACATTCCTGAAGCACATCATTTTGCATCATTCAGTATTCCAGGCTGTATCTGTTTACAGACAGCAACATCACCTTGCTAATTCATTAGAGGACAAAGACAACACCAGCCAAACATTGACAAGAAGCAGCAAAACAGCCTCACAGAACAAGAAACCACATTTTGTGTTTGTGCATCTTCCACATGCCTCAGAAGGGAAAGTCAGAATAATCACAGTGCTGCTCCTAGGGATACAATTCTGTGGTTAGGGGTGGGGAGAACAGCACCAGGGTTTGAACAACTGTTAAACACCACAAAAGGAAGAATGTGTGGTGAAAATGTGAAGTTTACAGAGTAGGCTGGAGAAACACTCTGCACTGTTTCTCATTAGAGAAATACATACAGTCTCTGAAACCAAGTTACCACCCTAGGTACTAGACAAGTATAAAGTGATTGTATGCATGTATCATTAGCTGGATTGTAACATAGCAGCAACAATGAAAGCAACAATGAACTATTTTCCTTAGAGTAGCTGACCCTTCTTAAGGAGCCCAGCTGACGGTTTTAAGTCAGGCTGAGCCCGCCAGAGTGCAGCAGAAAAGGTTTCCTCCAGCAGCAGGAGAAAGGGTGCCATCTCGTGGGTGGTTTTGCACACTGTCATCCAGATAAACCACCAGCCCCCCATCACACACACCCTTCCAGAAGTATTTTTCTGTTAAAATACATATTTAATGACAGTCAACAAAAGACCTGGAAAACATCTCTAAGCTAGTGGTCCAACTCTGAAAAAACAGCCAAGCCTGTCACGATTAACGTGGTTTTTCAGTGAAGATGGTCAACGACTCAATTACACAGGTACCTGATTCTCAAGAAGAGGAAACTACATCAGTACATCCTGGAGTACAAGAAGCTTGTTATTAGGAAAGTGTTCAGAAAAAAAATCCTACAATAGCCCTACCTAAATATCCTTTTCAAAGACAGGAAACTTTAAAATACCTGAAAGGAGGCTGTAAGAAGGCTGGGAAAGACCTGTTTCACAAGACCATCTAACGACAGGACAAGGGGTAATGTTTGCAAGTTAGAGAAGGGTAGATTTAGGTTGGACATTGGGAAAAAGTTAACATGAGGGTGGTGGATCACTGGAACAGGTTGTCTAGAGAAGTGGTGGAGGCCCCATCCCTAGAGACGTTCAAGGTCAGGCTTGATGGGGCTCTGAGCAACCTGTTCAAGTGTGAGATGTCCCCATTTATTGTAGGGGAGGTTGAACTAGACGACATTTAGAGGTCCCTTCCAAACCCAAGACTTCCTACCTGCAAAGCAAGAATTTAAAAATTTATTGTTTTTTCCTTTTACAGTTGAAACCAAATCCTACAGCAGG